GGACCTAGGAAGCGTGCCTTCTCTGTTGGGGCCTCCACTCTCTGGAATAGCATCCCCCCAGAGATAAGGATGGCACCCTCTCTCCTGGGGTCCCTGGAAGCTTTGAAAACCTGGCTTTGGTCCCAGGCCTGGGGTTGATGTTTATTATTTGTTCAGGAGTCTGTGTTTTGTTTCGTTGATTTTGCTGTCTATTAGATTGTTAATAGTCTGGGCTGTCTGTTTGGTTTAATATTTTTTTCTGTTTCTATGTTTTTCTAGTTTTGTACACCGCCCAGTGGTGGCTAATAATAATAATAATTTTCTGCCCTTATTGCATCTGCTGATAGCCATCTGATGGCCCTATCTTGGTTAACCCAAACCCTCCTGGGAGGTGGAGGTTCACAGCTTTGTCTACAAGGTTGCTGTAAGGAATATGCTCAGCATATGATGGATAAATACACTTGGATTTCTTCTGGGTTAGATTTTGACCTTGCAGCAATTCCTGTGGAGGTGACTGGGGCTCAGTCTGGATCACATTATATGGGAAGAGTTTGACCTTATTGGTCCTAAGGAAGTGGACAGGTTTTTGTAACTGTTAGCTCAGCTACCTCTGTTTTAGATCAATGTCCCTCCTGATTGGCTAAGGCATTCCAGGTGGTGATATGTGGTTGTGTTTTCCCAGTGGCAAATTCTTCCTTGAAAGAGGGGATGGTTCCACTGGTTCTTAAGTGGTCCATCCCCACCTCAGGAGCCCATTGCTGGACCCAGTCTTTCCAGTAAGGATTCAGATCTGGGTATGGGACTGAGTTGGCGTTGACTGCACTTCTAATTGACTTCCACAGGATGGAGATGGTGTGTCTGTCTTTGCTTTTACTGACCCTTCAGTAGTCTTTGATACCACTGGTCATAGTATCTTTCTAGACCAGCTCCAGGGAGCTCTCAGAGTTTCCAACTTAGTGACTGCTTCGCTTAGTGGTGGAGTTGCCAGTCCCAATTAGGGACATTAATTGGGACCTGTATGGTGACAATACCCAGCTTTTCATTTCCACCGCAGGCTACCTGAATGATACCATGGAGGTCCTATCTCAATGTCTGAAGGCTCTGGGAGTCTGGATGGGGAACAACAGGCTTCAGCAAAACCCTAGCAAGACTGAATAGCTTTAGGTTTTAGGATCCCAGGTTCTGGGGACTTTCCAACTCTCATTCTCAATGGGGTTGCACTACCCCTGACAGAAACTGTGTGCAATGTGGGGATAGCTGCTGTCGCTAGGAGAGCTTTTGCACAGCTATGTGTTGTGTGCTAGTTACACGCATTTCTGCTTTGGGAGACCCCACTCAGGGTCATTCATACCCTGGTCACCACCTGATTGGACTGTTTAATGTGCTGTATATAAGACTGTTCTTCAAGAGTATCTCAAAGCTTCAGCTGGTTCAAAATGCAGCAGCCTGAGCAGTTATGGGCATTTCATTTGATGTATTTGGTCTGCAAGTTGCATTGGGTCCCAGTGTGTGTATATGTTGTATTGTATATATGAAAAGTAAAAAGCACAGGGTTTTTTAATAGTTCATCACATTGTGTCCAGGGAATTTTATTTTAATTAGCTGAAAGTGAAATGTAGTGAATATTAATGTACTTTTAGAACTATTAACAAGATGACAATTCTGTGAGCTTTCTTGTCATTGATGGCAATGATGCCAAGAAAATATTATAGGTCACTGTAATGACATACCTAGATATATGTCTAGTGCCAGACCTGGAATGGCAGAAGTATTTAATAAGCTGGAACTGGGATGAGATCACCAGGAGAGTTATCAGTATTGACATTAATGAGTTTTATGTCCTGTGCCAAAAGAGTGAGCTGACCTGTGAAGAGCATGCAGTAAGCAATTTCCTATACAAGGAAGGCATGTTACCCTTGAAAACAGTACTTGCTATTCGTAAGTTGTGAATAGGAAGTACGGTATGTAAAGCATGCGGTCTAAAGAATTCCTCACCTAGTTCTGCCCTATGTCTTCTTTAACTCTATTTATTTTTCATTTTAAATCCCAGTTCATTCTGAAATAAATCATCATCAGAGAACCTACTCTTTAGTATTTAGAGAATTGCCCATGCATGCAAACAATGGTGTATTTGAAGCATAAAAACTAATCCTTTAATTTTGGGGCCAAGATGAATTGGTTTACTATATCATATTTTAAATCTTATTTTACATCATCATCATTATCATCATCACAGTTGCTTCAGTTTGAAAAAAAACAACAGTTAATGGCTGCAAATAAAATTTTAAAAATCCTATGCTTCCTTTTCCTCTCCCTCTTGAATCTTCTTTTCATTTTAGGTTGTTAATCACTTTGTTGAGGACTTTATGTTTTAAACTTTGTACAGTAATTACAGTAATCAAGAAATAAGCAACAAGACCAAAGCAATGTGATCTTAATGTACTATTTTTTCTTTGATTTATTTTAGCTGTAGGCCTTGCTTCCTGCCCAGAACCAGTAATTCCTAGCAATGGATTTAAAATGGGTGATCGATACATGGTGAATGATGTTTTATCATTTCAGTGTGAGCCAGGATACACATTACAGGTACCTGCATTCTTTTGAAAATGGTACATCAATATCTATATCTCTGTATCTCTGTATCTCTGTATCTCTGTATCTCTGTATCTCTGTATCTCTGTATCTCTCTCTCTCTCTCTCTCTCTCTCTCTCTCTCTCTCTCTCT